AAAAAAAAAAAAAAAAAAAAAAAAAAAAAAAAAACATTTTTTTTCATTTATTTTCCTTTCAAATTCTAAAAAAAAATGTACCCAGAAGCTAGGAACCCGGAATTGCACAAAACTTAGAACCTAGAGAAGCAAAGACCTTTCTTTTTTAGTTTCCATTCCAATTTCTTAGAAGGGCATGTTCCCAACTACGCAAAGTTCGAGAGTTCAAAAGTGAAAATTGGTAAAGGAGTGTTTACCGCGGAGAGAGCGGTTTTCCCAGGAACTCTTGGCATGGCGAAGCAGAATGAGTCGGCGAGAGATGGATTCAGATAAGGGTTCTGTGAGTTGGGTGTCCTGTTTCTGAATTAGAAGAGAGGATTTGGCGCGTAATCGGTTAGGGTTCCGATGTGTGCTCCGGCGACCGGAGTAGTTAGGTGAAACGGCGGTGTTGCATATTACAGAATGCATCTCACACACAGCCACATTCATGCTCTCTCACTCTCTCTCTCTCTTTGATAAATCCTCACAGTTTGAGGTTCTTTGGCCTTTCTTCTCTGCTCTCTCATGTCTTATGCATATCCTTTTACTGTCTTCTTTAACTTGTTTTTCCAAAAAAAAAAATCTATAATTTTTTTAAAAAGATGATAAGTGTTTTTTTAGGGATCACAGACATTTTCGTTTGCTAGAGTGAGTAGAATCGAGTTTGTATGTTCAGATTGTGTCACTTCATACATGTGTTCTATGTGTTTTTCTTTTCCAATATTTCTTATGTGTATATTCATATATGCATTAACAAAACACATACTAAATATATACTAATAACTATTTTTAATTTTTCTAAAATAACTTTTGTTTTTTAACAAGGTTGATCTTCAGTTTGTTCGATCGGATTTGAGTCAAAAATGTTCAGCCCTACTAAAAATAATCACTATTATTTTAGAGTTGTTTCTATCAATAATGCCTTCAAAAAGTTGGTTCTCAAGTACAGTGCCAACGAACTGAATTGAACTAACATTTGTCATTTTGGTCTTGTCTTGAGATTGATCATGGTAGAGAAGGTGGTCTTATCAAAGACAAAGAGAACCACATTGAATGTAGGCAAAGGTGGTCTCGTCATAGGGGAACCCCAACGACCTTCCATGCATTACTCCTTGTTGAAGCCAATGTACAACACTAGCACTTTCATCTCGGATCACTAAAGTTTGACATACTAAATTCTCAATCTCTTTATTGGTCCAGACAATGTTGTATATTCATAGTTTGCAGTGCATAATTAAGGCTCGTATAGTGAGATTTGGATTTTCAAAAGTGAGCTTGTCATTTTGAAATATAATATCTATCATTTAATCGTTGAAAGATTCAATTATTTTATGTGAATTTTTCAAAAAAATTGAAATACAAAAGATCTTAACAAAATATTTTCATTAAAGATAAATAATAAACAAACTTATCTTCTTTTTTTTTAAAGAACTTTAATCTTTTATATTTTAGACTAAAAGTAAATGAAGTGTAAACTATTATTATTGTCATTGTCACTATCACCATTGTTATAGTCATCAATCAGATAACTATGATAGTAATAATAATAACGATAATAATAATTATGGTGGTGTTGGTGCGATAATAACAATGACAATAATAGTAATGGAGGCTACAATGATAGTGATGGAAACTACAATAATAATAGTGATGGTGCAACAATGGTGATTATGGCGAGGATAACTATTACAGTAGTGATAATCATGATGATGATTATGTTAATTATGGTAATGTTAGTAATGACGATGTTCTAATAAAAATAAAAGATTTTAATATCGACACTTTGTTAATTTTTTAAAAAAATTAATTGGTGTGTATTTTATTTGATTAATTTTAGTTTTCAAAATTGTAATTATACTTAAATCTGAAAGTTAAACATTTAAATAGTAAAAATGTAATCACTTTATTTTCCAAAAAAAAATATTTTTCAGAAGATAAAAATATATTTTTCTAAAGAGTATAAATGTACCTCTAAAAGAAATATTTTTATACTTCCGAAAAGTATTTTTTAGAGATATATTTTAACTATTTTAAAAAGTACTTTATGAAAACATATTTTAATAAAATCAGAAAATACATTTTCAAAATCATAATAATAAAAAAGTATTGTTTCCGGTTGATAGTTCTTTAGAAAATCAATGGATTATACCTTTGAAAATGACATCTTAAAAAAAATTCGCAATCTTATATCTTATATATGAAATATTAAAAATAAGGTGAAAAATTAGAAGTTAAAAATATTAAAATTAAAAGTGAAAAAAAAAAGACAGTTATGTATTAAAAAAATTAGAAGTTAAAACTTAAAAATATTAAAATTGTTGTCAATTCCTATAATTTTTGAAATAAGATTTTTTAAAATTTAAAATCTTGTTTTAGTTCATCAAGTCACTAATAATATATGTAAATATGACAAATCGAGACAGTTATGTATTATCATTTAGGTTTAATGTGATGATTTCACTAATAAAATAGGTAAATTTTATGCGATAATATTTAACAAATTTCTTAATAAAATTTAAGTATAAAGATTAAAATAAGACTTTTTAAAATTATGACACTAAAAAGATCAAATATAAATTTAAAAGGCTAAAAATAAATTTACCTCAAAATTGAGGAATTAAAAATATATTTAAATATTATAAAAATTAATAATTTTTTCTGCATAATTATTTGTTATAAAATTTTAATATAAAAAAATGTGTACTCTATCATATACTCCAAACAATAATATATGTAATGTTAAAATTATAAATAAGAGAGACAATAAGAGTTCAAAAAATATATAGTATCAATACGGTTGTATTTTTACTCACAACCAATTAAAATCAATTTTCATGCTGTAAATTTAAGGTGATTATAATGTTAAAGTTAATAAATTTATAATATATATATATATATATAAATTC